CAAGTTACTGTGAGTTTTTTTTCACACACTGATAAAAAGGTCTGGGAGTTATCCGAATAGGAAACAGATGCAGGCTGTCCTGCCTTTCCAAAAAAGGCAAACTTCCTGTCTCTTACACTGAAAAAGGCCAAGGAAATGGACAAGAGTTTTGCCACCCTAAACTGACGATCTATAGGTGTCTCATTTGAAATTAGAGTACTTGCTGGATTTTTGTGTTGTAACCTTAATCTTCATTCTAATAGATACTTATTAATCAGGCCTCTTAGATCCTCATTTCTTTGATTCACTGTTTCCAGTCAAGATTTCAAGGAGAGAAGCCTGACAATTACTACTAAAAACAGTAAGAATTACCAGAATGACTTTTCAGTTTAATTCACATAGCAAAGACTCAAAACCCTTGTAAGAGCAAAACCACCGATACTTGAGTTTTCTGGTTAGGGTTCAGAGGGCTAAGCACATATTATTCCAATCTTACTCTATAAATTCTAAAATACTCATATTAGCATGTTCAAATAAATAAATACTGCTATGTTTATGCTTCCATAGCGGAAAAGGCAGGAAGATTTTTAAAGTGAAATAAAAAAGCTTACTGTTATATTTTTGCTTCATGTTATCAAAATAATTCTTTTACATAAATACAAGATAACCATAGCATAGAACATTAAAAACCTAGATACAGTGATGGACCAGATATGGGTAAACCAACTTGGGTGCCATCTAGAGACTGTGGTTCAGAAGACAAGCAAATATTTTGAATGGGTCGGAACAGGGTGTTTTGGATCCAGTACTGTTCCTATGACCAGGGGTGCTTTTACCTTTCTTCAGTGGATGTGCCGACATATATTCCTTCCTTAGGTATATGCTTATTGTTTGTATATAATCTCTTGTGCAGACTGCTACACTCTACATCCCTTGAAACTGTTTAGAAACTTAAGACACTGGAATTTATATGTTAGCCTAACAGTATCTAGAGTGCGCTTTTAATAGCATACATATTTATTAATGAATTCATTTATTGCAGAGCTGGAAAGCCTTTTTGTGGCCATGGACAGCACATGGGCTGCCTAGGTGCACAACAGAAGTGTCACTAAAGGAGGCATGGCTGAAATTTTCTCTCACATTTTCCATTTTGGAAGCAGTTTGGGGTATAAATTTTTTGTTTTATGCAAGGTAGACATATTAAAATTATTGAATGCTTAATTTCGCTGCTTTAAACAAAAACAAACAGAAACTGAACCACCAGAGTTCAGCTATTTACCTATGAATTTCTCCAAATGATTTCATGAAGGGGCATTTAACACATGAAGGGGCATTCAATACATGGATTTCTATCACAATTTATTACTTTATGCTTTTTTTAAAAAAAAGCCTTAGTTTTTGTCTGTTTTATTATTTTCCTTGAATTCTTTTAAAGCATTTAAACCTTTTTGTGGTAAGGGAGAATATGAAAGGTTAAAAAAATCAGCAGCCAAGGTTGCAAGGTTAAAACACTGGCATAAGTTATCACCCAAATATGCATGCCAATGTTTTTTAGGGAATTTTTATTTTGCTTATTGCAATAGTCAATTAATTTATGTTTAATTAAACATACATATTTAAATATCTCACTGTCACAGGCAAGCAGGAATCCCGTGATAGGCAAAGCAGGGATAAATTGATCCATCATTCCTCTGTCAGACCATATAGATTATGTACTAAACATGGATGGAAAAGTATATACAGTACATGTCCAACAAGGAAGACTGGAAAAAGATGAACAGAGAACATTTTATCTCCAACAGTTTATAAAAACAGAACAAATTTCCATGTAATATAGGAAGCTTATATTTATATACCTTCCACATCCCCAGAGCTATTAACTGGAAACTGACAATGGTTTTTGGAGGCTTAACTTACTTTCTAGGATTTTTAGATCATTTATTAGCAATGAACAAATAATTCAAATTCAACCACTTAAATATTTAAGCATTTTTCAATCTGCTTTTCTTGAGCTGTCCACAGAACTTGTATAATGATTTCCACCTCAAAAGGAAGGTGAGGTTTTTTTCTCCAAAATCAAGGTAGGGTTGTATAGATAATCTATTTGAGATTGTTTTAAATTCAGGCTTATCTTCCTTTTGGGAATATATTGTGAAAGATAAAGGGGAATTCTGTATTAAATATTATTACATGGAGAATTATTACATTATTACATTCCACAGTTTTCTTGGCAACAGTACAGAAGTGGTTTACAATTCTCTTCTTCTGGGATGTGTTTTCAACTTAGCACTGCTAAGCCTAAACCAGCCCAGTTTATAGACTTAATATAAAAATCTGTTTAACCCATTTCTGGATTACATCAGAAAGACAAATCTATATGGTAAAAAGTAACAATGCAAGAAGAGATCCATTAAGCATACCATTATATCTTCAGTTATAGTGGTTAATTCTAACATGGCCATTTATTAGTCTTGCAATCAGTCAGTCAGTTTATTACAGTCTTAGACCAATACAAGCAACGTGTTCATGAGTGGTCAGTTAGTATTTATAAACCTATCTTAATAGATAGTAAATAAAATGAAATTTAAGACAAAGTTAAAATACATTTATAAAATACATACAGTGGGGCAAAAAAGTATTTAGTCAGCCACCAATTGTGCAAGTTCTCCCACTTAAAATGCAGATGAGAGAGGCCTGTAATTTTCATCATAGGTATA